ACATTTTGGCTGGATTAACGAGTCTATGCACAGTCCAATCAACATCGCGTAACGAACTAGACATCTGGCTCGTAAACAACACGGATTTCAATGTTCAGAATTTGCAAAGCATCTGTACCGCCAACTGGGCGTCGACAGATATTTTACAAATCTGTTCATGTCTTCATTCAAGCTGCTCGAGTGATTTGATGCACTTATTGAGGTAAGACCCGTTTTATTACAATACAGACAATAGATCTTGGTTATCGACCAGATAGTCTTGACTGGGCGCCGCCATTTTGTTTGAATGCAAGTGATATGAGAAATGGAATCTGATTGGACAATAGGAGGGACATAATTAGTGGTGAGGTGAGGTGAAATGGGTTTAACGTGCACTTATATAGCGATGTGCATGCACGTGTGTGTGTGTATGCATGCACATGCTTACGTGCGTGCGTGTACTAGTCCGGACTAATGCCGATTTATAGTGCTAGCGCACTGAGATACCATGCCGCAGTTTAACATGAATACCCCACTCAGACACAGTATACTGACTCCAAACCGACCAGTCCTTGTTTTAGCCCCCTAACGCCGAGCGCCAGACAGGGTAACAACAAGTACCATCTTTTAACGTCTTTTGGTATGACGCCGCCTTGGATCGAACCCCGGACTTCTGCTCTCTGGGCGGACGCTCTACCACTAGACCACGGAGGCGGTCGACATAATTCGTAATAGCCACTGGTGGTGCTACGTTCGAGCCTGGAAGTTCCAGCCTAGTTCGGCAAGGGTGGAAACTGGACTTTTATAACCAGCTAACGCCCTTGCCTCGGGAGGATGATTGGGGCGTCAATAAGTAATCCTTAATTACAAATGACGGACAACGCCACAAGGGACGGACAGGTCAAGCTGTGACCCTTACGTCAGTGCGACAACTGTGCTAGACGACAAGGTTATGCTTTAAAGATTTTATTTTGAACTTTATATTTCTTCATGCTTATACGTAATGTAAGTCTGCATGTGCATTTAGTAAACGTATATACGTTAACGTACATATGTACCCATATCAAATACACCTCCATCGAATAACCACTCTCATTCTATGCCACCATCAAACATGTGCGTGTACTTTATTTGGCCCTGCATTGTGTGGGCTGGACAGAAGTGCCTGTATGCGGAAAAAGGTAAATGTTGGATTGTAGAAAATATTTGATGTTATAATTGTATTTTCAGGGGACTCGAAGATGATTTAAAATATACAGCGTTTGATTTTAACTACAGTTAAGGCTGAGGGTCGGAAATATAGGGTGCGAGTTAGCATAGCTGGGTTTTTTTAATAAGACGTTTGAGTATTACCTACACGAATGCGGTTATAAAAGCCTTTCCAAATAAACGTTTGATTATAACAGTTACAGTTTAGAGGGCCGACTTATAGAGATTCCAGTTTAAACAGAGGGTCGACTTATAAAGATTCTGGTCTAAACAGAAGGCCGATTTATAGAGATTCCGGTTTAAACAAAAGGTCGACTTGTAGAGATTCCGGTTTATCCAGAGGGCCGACTTATAGAGATTCCGGTTTATCCAGAGGGCCGACTTATAGAGATTCCGGTTTAAACAGAAGGCCGACTTGTAGAGATTCCGGTTTAGACAGAAGGCCAATAATTAGAGATTCGGGTTTGGGCGGAAGGCCGACGTTAAGAGATTCTGCGAAAATGACGACCTTTATTACATATACTAAATTTAACATGTGCATTGCATCCTGACCCCGAATCGACTTACCATGAAACAAATCTAAGTATCAAGTGGTCCAAGGGAGATAACTACTAGGTAACAATAACAGGCGGCCGTAAAATCTCACAAACCTGGCTTCCCAGCCAGGAGTGAAACTATTTCTGTCATGTTGAATAACGTCTTGTGTAACGTGTAAACCATGCTTGAACAACAGTTTCCGTTGCCCATGTATCCCTTTATGCACCTGGCTTACTGTTTAACCACACACCATGACATACCTACTACGGGATGTGTTAGGGCCTTGTATAAATAAAGATATAATAAAAAGGAGCCCAGAGACTCTCTTCATTTTCAGACACTGCAGCAATCTAGACTAGACTAGCCAAACATTATAGACTTGCATGGGCTGTATTGGATATACTTGTTTCAGGGTTTGTGTGACAGACTACTATCAGGCCTGAACATAGTATATGAGTATATGACGGACTAGGTCCGTTCACTGTGCTTCGTTGGACTGCTTTTGAAATAACATCGAAATGACCAATAGTGAGCTTGATTAAACACGACATGTCAGCTTGAGGGGAGGAAACCCCGACGTGATATAAGCGATACATTTACTCACTCCGGGGCCTTGAGACCTAGTCTGTCGCGGGATCCACACTAGCACCAGGCTTCTGAAGTATATCTGAATTTCATCCAACGTAGGAATTCAGGTGCAGAAAAGGTCACAAGGTCCCTGTGGACTCTCAGTCGGGATTCCGGGGCAGAATAAGTACCCAGCACCGTTACTTGAAGTAGATTCCAGGCGGGGATTCTAGGACAGAATAGGTCCCCAGTACCCATGCTTGTCTCTCGGCGGGGATTCTAGGAGAGAATAGGTTCCCAGTATCCATGCTTGATTCTCGGCGGGAATTCTAGGACAGAATAGGTCCCCAGTACCCATGCTTGTCTCTCGGCGGGGATTCTAGGAGAGAATAGGTTCCCAGTACCCATGCTTGTCTCTCGGCGTGGATTCTAGGACAGAATAGGTCCCCAGTACCCATGCTTGTCTCTCGGCGTGGAATCTAGGACAGAATAGGTCCCCAGTACCCATGCTTGTCTCTCGGCGGGGATTCTAGGAGAGAATAGGTTCCCAGTACCCATGCTTGTCTCTCGGCGTGGATTCTAGGACAGAATAGGTTCCCAGTACCCATGCTTGTCTCTCGGCGGGGATTCTAGGAGAGAATAGGTTCCCAGTACCCATGCTTGTCTCTCGGCGTGGATTCTAGGACAGAATAGGTCACCAGTACCCATGCTTGTCTCTCGGCGGGGAATCTAGGACAGAATAGGTCCCCAGTACCCATGCTTGTCTCTCGGCGTGGATTCTAGGACAGAATAGGTCCCCAGTACTCATGCTTGTCTCTCGGCGGGGATTCTAGGACAGAATAGGTCACCAGTACCCATGCTTGATTCTCGGCGTGGATTCTAGGACAGAATAGGTCCCCAGTACCCATGCTTGATTCTCGGCGTGGATTCTAGGACAGAATCGGTCCCCAGTACTCATGCTTGTCTCTCGGCGTGGATTCTAGGACAGAATAGGTCACCAGTACCCATGCTTGATTCTCGGCGTGGATTCTAGGACAGAATAGATCCCCAATACCCATGCTTGTCTCTCGGCGGGAATTCTAGGACAGAATAGGTTCCCAGTACCCATGCTTGATTCTCGGCGTGGATTCTAGGACAGAATCGGTCCCCAGTACTCATGCTTGTCTCTCGGCGTGGATTCTAGGACAGAATAGGTCACCAGTACCCATGCTTGATTCTCGGCGTGGATTCTAGGACAGAATAGATCCCCAATACCCATGCTTGTCTCTCGGCGGGAATTCTAGGACAGAATAGGTTCCCAGTACCCATGCTTGATTCTCGGCGGGGATTCTAGGACAGAATAGGTCACCAGTACCCATGCTTGATTCTCGGCGTGGATTTTAGGACAGAATAGATCCCCAATACCCATGCTTGTCTCTCGGCGGGAATTCTAGGACAGAATAGGTTCCCAGTACCCATGCTTGATTCTCGGCGGGGATTCTAGGACAGAATAGGTCCCCAGTACCCATGCTTGCCTGTCGTGGTTCCGAGGCAGAATATCCCATTACTAGAGACAACCCAAACGATTATTTACAGGTTCCATTGGTCCTGCTGGGTGAAACATCATCTCAACCACCCTGAGTTTGACATCTTGTTTGTACATGCCGAGTCCACCTGCAACAGTGAGTGAGTGAGTGAGTGAGTGAGTGAGTGAGTGTAGAAAGAGTTCATAATTATAACGTTTGTTGCTAACACAGCACTCGGCAAATATTCCAGCTATACTACGACGGTCTGTACATGAAAGAGTCTGTAAATAATTTGGACCAGACAATCAAGTGATTGACATCATGAGCATCGATCCAGGCAACTGGGATACGATGGCATGCATCAACCAAGTCAGCGAGCCTGACCGCCTGATCCATATAGTCGTCTCTTACAAGCGACCCTTGAAGATCCAGGGTGGAATAGGTCTTCAGCAACCCATGCTTGCCGTAAAAGGCGACTTTGCTTGTCGAAAGAGGCGACGAACGGGATCGGGTGGTCAGTCCCGCTGACTTGGTTGATGCATGTCATCGTGTCCCAATTGCGTGGATCGAAGCTCTTGATGTCAATCACTGGCTTGTCTGGTCCAGATTCGATTATTTACAGACCGCCGCCATATAGCTGGAATATTGCTGAGTGGGGCGTTAAACAACAAACAAACAAACACAAAAATCTTACGACAAACATAGGTTGCTGGCATCTATATATCATATTGGTCTTATAGAGACGCTGGATTATACCAATAACCTTGCAGCGTCTTCAACTCGCAGTCGTAGCGTTTGGTCGTGCCGGTCCCACCTGTAACAGTGTAGAGGACACCGCCCTTGTAATCAAATGCCACTAAGTGTACATACAAATAGTCTGGCCACCTTCCGAGCTCTACAATATATCATAACGAATAAGTCAGCATAAACTAGAATACGCCTCATTTGGCTTAAAAATCGATTAACCTCCAGATGGATTATGTCTATTTTAAATAATCCTCAGAGACACATCAAATCTACATGCGCATACCCAGCGTGTTGCTACCTAATGCTCATTAAGTCTAGTCCGGCCACTAATCCCTGGCGCTAACAGGCCTGGAACACGCAGAGCGAGATCGATAGAAAGGTTTGTCCCCGAGCCTCTGGGAGACTAGATCCCAACTGCGTCTGTCACATCAGTTTCCTCGCAGACGACTCCGAATTGTATGGAGCAGACACACAGTAATTTTTCGGGCAGACGATGCCGATTTCTATAAGGTAGATACAATTCATCAGTCGATTTTAACCATCGAACGTATGGTCATTGTATAGACAGCCAGAGAAGACGAGATTAAATAGCGCGAACAAGCTTTGAACAGGAGACCATATAAGATTACACAGTAGGGGATACAAAGGTCTGCAAAGATTTGTTCCGGTAGCATGGAATTGTACTGGACACTGCTGTTGGTACCTTCAAAAGTAGTAACGTGTTGAACTGTAGATTAGAGATAGGAATGAAGTCTCTGCCATGATAAATATATATCGCCGAGATGGAAATCTGATCGGTAATCCATCTTGAGGGCTGGTGTCACCGCAGGATGGTTTATAACATCGTGCTGTATTTCAAACTTTAACTTGAAGCAGACGATACGTATTTTGACTGAGGAAACGATACATGGAATGAAATGACACGTGTGTTTTATCACGAGAGCAGAAATTGTGATAACGGAAGTGATGTTTCCAAACTTTTACTGTAAGACGAATTTAAATATTCTGAGCAGACGACATCGATGACGCAGACGAACGGATTCAACGTGAACCTTATAGCTGGGAGATACACGGAGTCCGCAGATACCCGAAGACATACTTCAGAAGGTAAGATCCATTTTTATCTTGCGTAGCTTTGAATATCAGAAGAGAATCCTCAAATGTATGGTGGCCGAGAGGGGACATCGCTTTCTCGCTTACTCGCTTTCTCGCGGTATGGCAATATTCCCTCTTGGCCACTATAGGGGTCGCATGGGTTTATGTGTTTCTATACGATAACAAGTAAATACGTAAAACAACAATGAATAGTTAAACCTGACCTCAGTGGACGGAGGCTTAGGTGGGTTTTAATCATAAAAGAGAGCTGAGATTTTTCCAGTCACATTTCAAATTACACATATGGATGGAATGTTGAAATTTTCTCACTATCTACTTAAACATACTTTAACAGTACAGACGTAGGTGCATTTATAACAATCCACGGATTGCTGCGTAAAAAATACTTGATTGTTTTATGGCCCTATTTAGGAGTTTTATTGGATCCTCCGCCCCCAGGCCTAGTTATCAAAACAAACAGCAAATAACACCGCTTATTAGCGCTAAGTAGAGTACTTCCTTAAAAACAAAAGTGTTTTCCTAAAAACAACACTTAGGTATATAAATGTTTATTCTGTTAGCGGGGTAGATGTCATCAAGGCAGTCCTCACCCAAGCAATGGTAATACTACCGGATGTCCATTATCTAATTTCTAGTGTTTGAATGATATATTATTCTCAGTAACCGTAATGTGGAATGAGATAGTTGATTGTTTTTACATTCATATGAAAAGATGTTATGAGCAGGCCATGAAATAATGTTACAAAAATTGCAAAGGGTTGGGGGCGTCCAAAAATGACGCAGTCCTAAGACCAATAAGAATGGATCTCTGACATTCAAAGTGATGTATTATACACAAGCAATGTCATGACGAATCCATTGATTTGTTTTCATATTGGCTAAACCTTGCAGACTCTGGACCGGGCCAACCTTGCCTAAATCTCAGAATCTTGGGCAGACTGGTGTGGTGTCAGGATGCAAAAAGTAATTTGAATAAAATTGTATATTACACTTGTCATTTTCAGAAAGAAAATAAAACAACGTGTGCAAACAAACAAACTACATTAAGTAATTAAAACACTAGTTGATATTATACACTTCAACATAGATGGACTCACGTGCCACTGTCAGGGGGACAATAATTTTACACTACGTTAACCCCCTGAGTGGCACAGCCTTCAATAGTCTCAGGTTGATAACATCATACCAATTTATAACAATTCTAAATTCAAAATTTATCAAATAATTCTATTTCTTTTTAAAAAGCGAGAATTAAACGAACATTGATATTATTAAAAATATCCTTCAAAGACGTGGAATAATAATATGTATCCCTTGTGAGAGAAAAGTCTGACTGATTCTCTCATCGCAAGGCACAACGGAGGATCCTCACCTTTCAATAACTATTCATGCATGTAACGGCTATGGCCAATGCGACATTGTCGCAAAAATGTCTGTACTGGCAATCCAAATAGGTATAACCTAGGATTTGTTTAATTTCATGAAGTTTGTTTGTACCTAACTGGGTATTTCAGTTTGTCTGCATCAATTGTCTGTGTGCCAGTGGGTCACCAGCTGAAGGTTAAACTGAATACCCATTCACGTCAGCCTATTTTCGACATATCTGTTCTTAATATAACGGTGTCAGTATAAAACGTTATTGCTTATAACACCTCTCACACCATCTGGCCTTCCTGACAAGTAACACTTGGCACAGAAATAGGTTATCGCTCATGATATAACTCCATGGTGTAAAGAAAGTTATTTTTTTAATAGTTCTATCGAGCTGGTGGAGCTCCTGGTGACATTATTTTTAATATAATATATAGTTGTATTTTGAGAAATAGGGTGTGAAGTGACTGCCAGACAGCAATCCCCATGGTTACAATGTGTGATACCCACTCCTGGTCTCCCCCACCGTGATATTGCTAAAAGTGGCGTAAAACCATACTCAGTCACTACAATGCTTCACATTCCATTCACCAAGTGATTCTAATGACGCTACATTATAATTACCAGGGCCATCTTAACGCTACAATTATTAACTATAAGCTGTCTTACAATAGCGCTAAGATCGGTTTGTGCAAGTGGACAAAAACAATTGTATGGTGATTGTAAAACGGTGCCTTAGATCGATTGTTTTCGATTGTCGATAGACATTATTTTTAATATAATGAATTGATGAGCAAAAGAACCATGTTTGATTTGCAATTGAAAATATCTCAGCGAGTGAGTTAAAACTTGACATCGCATAGGTGATATTCCAGCCTTATTGCGATGAAACAAGTTAAATATTATTAAATTCCTGTCGACAAAGGACAGCAAAACAGTTAGGTGAATATCACAGTTTGGGTATAAAACATATTTTTTAGTAGATTAGCTGGTAGACAATAAAATTAGGCTATATACCACTGGCAACCAAAGCGAGACCACTAACTGGCAATCACGGGGACACTGCTTTTGCTTCCTGCATGATTCCCGGCAGGATTTATGCCATCACTTTGGTCACCAGTGGTAATATTCAATGCTAACCAATATTTAAAAAATCAAACTACATTAAGTAATTAAAACACTAGTTGATATTATACACTTCAACAAAGATGGACTCACGTGCCACTGTCAGGGGGACAATAATTTTACACTACGTTAACCCCCTGGGTGGCACAGCCTTCAATAGTCTCAGTTGTTGATAACATCATACCAATTTATAACAATTCTAAATTAATCAAATAATCCTATTTCCCTTTAAAAAGAGAGAATTAAACGAACATTGATATTATTAATAATATATCCTTCAGAGACGTTGAATGATAATAGGTATCCCTTGTGAGAGAAAAGTCTATACAGTCAAGCCAAGCACGCCTGACTGTGATTCTTTCATCGCAAGGGGCAACGGATGATCCTCACCTTTCAATAACTATTCATGCATATAACGGCTATGGCCAATGTCACATTGTCGCAAAAATGTCTGGACTGGCAATCCAAGTAGGTTTAACCTAGGGTTTGTTTAATTTCATGAAGTTTGTTTCTACCTAACTGGGTATTTCAGTTTGTTTGCATTAATTGTCGGTGTGCAAGTGGGTCTCCAGCTAAGAGCACCAAGGTTCTCTTATACCCAACAGTTACGCTACATTAGAACAACACACTTAATGATGGGACACGCTGTGCGTTGCACGGCCGAGATTTGTTCCCGCAATTGCGTAAACATACATACATTTGATGTTCCATACCTTAGATCTTACAAACATTGAAACATACACTATTTGATCACGATTAACTTGTGGTTGCCCGACACGTAAACCCGGAGGTAAACAACTCCTTTAGAGAAAATACTCTGGAACCGTGTTCCCTCGACGGCTGCAAACAGCAACTACCGGAGGGTTTACTGTATACATGTTATCTACTGCAGATGTACATGAACACTTGAACCTGATATATTCATTAAGCTACATATGTACATTGAAATATTGTAAAACTAGCTCGGTGGCCCAACACGTACACAAAAAACACATTGACACCGACACAAATATACTTTAACAATTATATAAAACTTAATCACATGATAGTGTATTATACTGGTTCCTAGCCTATAAACCCACAGTAAGCACATTCGTACTGACAATAATATACACAAACACTGCACATGCTGTACTAGGGCATATTAACTCCCTGTATTATAACGGTTGTTCGGCCCAGAACATCATCGTATGAAAGCACAACATCAGCTTGCATTAGTATTATAATGGTTCTTCAGACCAGAGCAACATCACATCTACGACTGCACGTACAGCAGCTTACATTAGTATTATAATGGCTCTTTAGCCCAGAGCAACATCGCATCGTACGACTGCACGTACAGAAGATTACATTAGTATTAAAATGGCTCTTTAGCCCAGAGCAACACCACATCTACGACTGCACGTACAACAGCTTACATTAGTATTATAATGGCTCTTCAGCCCAGAGCAACACCACATCTACGACTGCACATACAGCAGCTTACATTAGTATTAAAATGGCTCTTCTGACCAGAGCAACACCACATCTACGACTGCACATACAGCAGCTTACATTAGTATTAAAATGGCTCTTCTGACCAGAGCAACACCACATCTACGACTGCACATACAGCAGCTTACATTAGTATTAAAATGGCTCTTCTGACCAGAGCAACACCACATCTACGACTGCACGTACAGCAGCTTACATTAGTATAAAATGGTTCTTTAGCCCAAAGCAACATCACATCTACGACTGCACATACAGCAGCTTACATTAGTATTATAATGGCTCTGCAGCCTGGCGACAACAATACGCCCGAAAATATGACAAATCTAAATCTGTCCCCACTGTCACACATCTGAAACATACAGACAACAGATTAATACATTGCAAATGCAATACTTTTCGCATAAAGAAATCTAATGGCCGTGTTTACTGAATGAACAATTCAAATCTTCACACCCCTTAAATACGCCAGTTTTAGCCAGCTAGCGGGGCGGACTACTCACTTAGATCAACGCTACACACTACTAGGAGAAAGTATTTCCCTTCTAATTCATCCTTCAAACGAAAGAAACAATATAAACTGGGATGGTATACTCAAGCAGAAGTATTAATCCAAGACTAATAGCTCTATCAGATTGGCCCATGAGCCACCGGCCTCTGGGCATATTTGACCCTAGGCAATGATTTTATTCATTTTTTTACAGCCAACAGGTATTAAAAGTCAATTAACATTTTTACCAAGATCCTACAATAAACGATTGAATATATCGGCTCAAACAAATAGACTGCACATAGATCCGCGGCCATGCTGCTGCCCGTCTTGGTGAAGTCAGGGTCGAAGTGGCGTGTGGGGCAAAGGAACAGTTCCTTGAAATAGTGCCCTCAACCACCAGACTACCTTCCCCCACCCACACAGGGGCGCAACCCACGGCAAACAGGTTGCCCAATTTAGTCGCCTCTTACAAGCAATGGGGTGCTGAGGACACATTCGACCCCGGGTCCAC